CTGCAGGCGGTGGCGGCGGCGGTGGAGGAGGAGAGGCTGGCGTCTGCGCATGGAGTACGGGGTTTGGTGAGTGTGGCGGGCTGGAGAGCTGCTGGCTAAAGTGCAGTGGTGGCTCTACGCTGACGCTCATGTTTGCTGCAGCGGTAGAGGCGCATGTGAAAGTGGAGAGCGGGCGTTTGACGGGCGGGAGTGCAGGTAAAGCTGGGTAAAAGTACAAATGGAGCGATGAGTGAGAGGAGATATGAACGAGGCGGCACGACAGTGGTGTGTTGCTTTTATCGGTGAGTGCAGCAGGCTAGTAGCGTTATCGCGTCGACGAGGGTGTATGGATACAATGAGCAACCGACGTGTGCTTCTGGAGATATGGCTCGAGACTGTAGAAATTGGAGTTGGAGAAGAAGGAAAGATAACCTGGGCGTGGCTGGAGCTTGACAAGGCTGCAGCCTACCAGCATGCGGCACGATTGCCAACAGAGGTACAGAGTGAGGCGGTAAAGCTACCTGGGAATCGGCTGGCCCACGCGCTGCGCTATCCCGAATCGAAGGAGCTTTGGCGTCAGCGCCTTCAACCTGGAGGCTCTGCGCCCTTTACAGCCTCTCCGACGACGCGCTTCAGAGGTTGACTCATCGCACAAGGCTGCGCGGACAAGGCGCATTCGTCGTCATCACGGAGCTCTCAGCTCCCTTATCGATTAACCTCCACAGTGACCGGCTAGGCAGTCACGCTAGAGCTTTGAGACTAGTGGGGAAGGTGGGCCCGTCCGCGCCTTCCCTGCGTCCGCTCTCCGCACCAACAACGTTGCTCCATACAGCAGTCGTCCTTACATGCCAGCCCACTTATTCCGGTCAATCAACAACATGGTCTTTATTGCACGAGCTATTGGAGTGCTGCATGGCGTATAGCGCCTGTTGTTATTGCCCTTGCGACCTTTGGACCCGTGCGAAAGTGGCCGCAACAATGAGCGGAAACACCACCGTCGCCTCTGCGTACACCTTCACGCTATCTCCATCCAGCTTAATCTTTCCCCAGCTGACAGCTTCGTCTGGCCGTGCGCCTGCATCACTCCCGTCAAATTCTTGCGCAGTGTTGATGTACACCGCGCTGTCGGCTCCGTTGCGCATCAGGTTCGCATTGGCGATGTGATGCTTCACCAGTCCTCCGCCCAGGATAATCATGCCTGTCCTCTTCGCTCTCACGGCGATTGTGTTTATCCTTCTAATGTCCTCTACAATATCGACGCGCAGCTGCTCTGGTGATGACTTGAATGTGTGGAAGTACAGCATGTCGCCCAGGCTTCCGTCTGTCAGCGCTGGGCAGAAGACGGGGATGTCGTTCTTCCACGCCCAGTAGTAGACTGATCGCTCGTCGTTGATTTCCTTGCCCAGACGGTGGATGACCTTGCTAGGCGTCCAGTACAATGGCTCGTCCGTTTTCTTGCTCGCTTCCTGCTCCTCCAGCATCTTGTCCAGGATGGGCACTACCCAGTCCTCGAACGCGCAGTAGTTGCTGTTAGGCACGACAAGATTGCCGATGCGGTTCATGCCCTTTTGGCGCAGTCCAGCGCCGGGAGTGGAGAAAGCGCCGAGGTATGTCGGCGCGAGGCATTTGATGAAGTCCTCTTCGACGCCGCCTGCGGTCGTCACGATGGCAGAAACGTGTTTGTGCTGGACCAGGTACCGCAGCGTCTCGCGCAGCCCCGAGGATATCAGATTTGACGTGTACCCAAGGAATATCGTCGTGGGCTCCTTGGTCTCAGGGTCTCTCCATGCGCGCTGTTATCTGTTAGCAGCGAACCCAAGCTTCTCAATGCGGTGGTGTCGCGTCGCCAAATCAGGCTAAATGATTCGTCTTTCGGGACCGCGCACGGACGGGAGATTCCCGGCATACGCAAGTGCTGTCTCCGCACTTGACGCTGACACGCCGCAGCGGCGCAGCACGCGCATTCGGATATTCCGGGCAGAAGCAACTCACCATATCGTTGATGATGCGTACAGCCTCTCCCACCGAAGTCGCCTGAAAGCCCATGTTGGCATAGCCGCCCACCAGCTCCTCGACAGTGATGCTGCGCGACGCGTACTGGTTGAAGTCGATGCCCTGCACCTCTTGCGCACCCTCAGGCACGGGCTCGGATGGCTTCAAGACTGCATCAGTGGCGCCGGTAGGGGCCGAAGAGTTGCTAGCCATGGCAGTGGGCAGTCTCGGTTGGGCAGTCGCTGCAGCGGCGCTGTCGCAATGTTCTGGCGCGTCGTCGGGCTGCTCGGCGTACTCTGGACGGTTGCAACTCTCGTACTGTGCTATTTGTGAGTCGGTGCGGCGGCAGATTTTGAGGAAAAAGAAGCCCCCACACCTGGGCACCCGTGGATTGGAGCTAAGGCATGGCAGTCTAATCCCTGCTCGTGTGAGGCTAGTTCTCGGGTCGATCCAGCTAAGGAGACTGCCAGCCCTTTTGTCATCAACGTGTGGGAGGGCCACGGTGTCGCATCATCGCACAATACGCCCGCCAGTCCTCCAGGCGTGCATCGTGTCCAGCATCTGCCGTGCAGCGGTGTCTGTCCGTGTTGGTGAAGGGGCCCGGGCTGGGATCGTCACCAAATCCCCTAGTGGAGCCAGGGCTGGAATCTGAAGCAAAACCAGCGGCTGCCCACCCCTGCAGATAATCGAAATGTCCAACTGCAGACCAATCAGAGGCCGGCTGTCATGTCTGGATGGATTCCCCTCGCTAGGCCGTTGCAGGCCAGCCGGGGCGTCCATTTTGACTTGCAGGCATCCGTCATGGCTGGGTGTGTCAGTGCTTCGTTCGTGTTCTGGTCTCCTCGACGTTCCCTTTCTCATCATCACACCTACCTTGCGACAACGACCCTCTCCACGACACTATGCTGCCACGGCCCAGCGGCGCACAGCCTGGCTAAAGAGCCACTCCATTCTTCGTTTCCAGCATCGACAAGGTGCTGCCTCACGTGCCCAGGCCTCTCTCACAAAGAGACCCAGCGCCACGTCAACGGGCTGCAGAGCATCTTCAACACGGCGCCAGACTGCCTTTGTTGACCGCTGCGCGCTTCTCACACTCTCCAGTATCTCCAGACGACTTTGCCTGACCTCCAGGGCCAGTTTGACGCGTTTACGGCACGAAACGGGCGTTTTGGGCGTAAAGGCGACAATAGCAGATCGAATCTCAGCTCCCGGCGCCGAGCAGCTGCACCTGTTCCACCACGGATCGGGGTTTGGCGCTTTCCCTAATTCCCTGGTTTCGAAGCACGGGCCTTGCCGCTAGCGCCTCGTCTACCACGGCTTGCAAACACGAACCTCGACTGACACCCTGTGGTTGACGTCAACCTGGGACACAACAATTCGCCGGCCAATCGCGCGATCACTCTTGAGATTACACACGCCGGTACATCAAAGGAACCCTTTTTCTTTTCTGCACCATCCGTTTGCTACGACCACTGCACGCGATCCGGGCCTGCGCTTACGACCGAGATTTCCAATCCGCTTTGACATACGACCTTTACCTGTGCCCATGCCGCAGTCGCAAGTTCTTTGTACACTAAGCAACCACCAACATGTCTGCTTCACGGTATCCGGAGAACGGCAGATATCCCCGCGACAGGTCGCCGCCCTACCGGGATCGAGATCGAAGACCATCCAACTTTAGTAGCGGTTACCCGCCAAGGGGTAACGAAACCTTTAGACCAAATGCAGAGCCTGGCGGCTTCTCAAGAGAAGTTCCGAAAGGTCCAAAATCTCTTTCCGATGCGCCACGTGGCCCGCCAGTGGGTCCACCATCAAGTGCATCTGCAACGCCACGCGATGATAGAAGCCGAGGATTTGCTGGCCGAGGCGAAGCTACACCACTACGTACTGCGCCACCATTAAGCAGCGGTCCTGGGTTTCCGCACAACTCCCAAAATTCCTGGAGGGCAGATCGCGACCGAGACCGCGACTTTGATCGGCGCGAGCGACGGCCGACCCCACCAAGGCGCTCACCTATCCGTGACTCAAGAGATCCGCGTGATCAGAGGGACTTTGTACCGCGAGATTTGGATGTCAATCGCGCACGACGAAACTCACGAGACGGCCCCCCTTCCGCTGGTTCCACCTACTCTGACCCCCCACTCCCCGGTACAGCTTCATCGTATCGTGGCGGAGGCATTGGCCGAGGACGAGGCGGATTCTCTGGGCGCGGTCGAAACTTCCATAACGATGACCGGGAGAGACACCACGACTCACGTGATCGCATTCCAGAACGGACATATCGGCCGCGGAGTCGGACACCTCCACGGCGCCAGGAGCGAGACATTCGGGAAGATCGCGATTTCGACAGGAGAGAACGTGATGATCGGAGGTTCCCCAGAGAGTACGACTCCTACATCGGCCCAGCAGGTGCTGCGAAACCAGGACTACGGGCGTTGGACACACACCGAGGTCCGGGCCCTTCTGATCTGAGGCATCTACCTGGTACGCCTACGGGGCCAACCCCGCACTCATCTCACCATGCCTCTCCGTCCGACAGGCTAGGGCCTCAGGGAGATACTTACTCAAGACGATCTTCTGTTGCCATCGATCCTCTCTCTGCCAAGGATCCTCGGCGGGAGCCAGGGAAAGACGAGGCTCTCCTGGCCAGCCGCGCTGAAGCGTCCAGGGAGAGGTACGCTCCGCGTGCTTCATCGCCTCCTGCTTCCATTCCAGCCTTCGGTGGGTCCAATGTTTGGAGGGCGCCCATCTCTGACAACAAGCCAAGCGCTGCGACAGTAGCACCACCGAAGCCTGCTCAGCCTACTCCTGTTTCTACTACTAACACCTCTGTCGGTCCTGCCACACCTGCTGCTCCTGTTACTCCTGTGAAGGCGGCAGTAATCCCAACTGCACCAAAGGCAACCATTCCCCCAGGCCTCTCGACACTACCACCCACTGGGCCAAAAGCTGACCGGGCGCCGGATCGTCCGCTGCTTGGAGAGGTACCAAAGCAAGAGAGCAGAGTGTCTCACCCGGCTCCAACACGTATGGAACCACCTTCTATTCCTCCTACTGTTGTTCCATCTCAGGTCACTGATGTACCAGGCTCAGACAATGTAACTGCCAAGGTCCCGATCTCGCCCCAAATGGCTGCGCCCCCTAAAGCTCCCACGATGGTACCATCAGCTCCACTAACCGCTCCTACTGCGCCATCAGGTGCTGCGAAGTCGCCTCCACAAGGCCCTGCTGCACGACCGCGTGCACCACCTACAGCTCCTCAAGCGGCACGAGTCAACGTATCCCCATCGTTCTCAAGGGCGACTCTTCCACAGTACACACCTCGAGATGCATCTCCCAGTGCGAATCCTTCAGGGTTTGGTCCGCGTAATGGTGGCGGAGGAGGCCTTGCGATCAACACATCCCCGCAAAGCTTACCAGCGAATATACCTACGGGCCCCAAAGCCGACCGCACTCCGATGGCTCCTAGGCCACTTTCATCCTATCCGCAATCGGACAGGCCTGGCTTTCCTCCCGCTAGAGGCCCATTGAGCGGCGGTCCTAAGAGCATGCAATGGGTACGGCCTGGATTCAATTCGAGCCGACCGTCGGTGCCAACCAAGCGCGAATTCCCGGCTGAGGATCGTGAACGACCGTTCGGTACTGCCCCTAAAGCTCCTCGACTCGAGCATAGCGTCTCTGCTGCACAGATCCAGCGTAATACACAAGCTAAATCAGTATCACCGTCATTTTCACGCATTCAACCCGAAATCGAAAGACCGAGAGAACGTGCGGTATCCGCAGAGCGTCCTGTGGTGCCCTCACCCAAACCTACTCCGATCGAGACTAGGCGACACTCTGATGTCGTCATGGCAGAAGCGTCACCTCGAATGGCCAAGCCACCCATGTCGGCTGCGTCGTCTGCCCCGGAAGCTCTGCAAGACTCTGACGACGATCTTGATCTTGACGAGGACGACTTCGCTGAGTCTGAGGCGAAATACAACCGAGAGCGAGCACGTCTAGAGGCCAAACGGGTCGATCTGAGTGCTCCGCACTTGCGCGCTACAACTCCCTTGCAGGAGATTGTTCTGCTGTCATGCCTCAATGTCGAGCATCTTCCTCAAACACAGCCAGATGTGGTGTCCGTCGAAGAGACAAGCACACCCTTTCCCCAGGAGCAGGAAGAGTCACATCTTTCACCTGTGCAAGCACGTCATGTGGAACCAACCACTAATCAACCTGCTCCAGAGAGTATCACGGCAGATCTACCGACACCTAAGGCGGAAGAGTCCGAGGATGTCGAGATGGAAGACAAAGAGGAGACTGAAGAGAGGTCGGCTGCACCCGCAACGATGGCGCTTCGCCTACGACGTGAGACCTCTGCAGAGCGGGAAACCTTACCCGACCTCAGTTCGTTGCCCTATCTAGGCTCAGGCCCGCCAACGCCTCTATCGGACATTGGGCAAGACCGACCAAACCTATCTGACGATATCATGAACGCCATTCGAAGCAAATTACGCAAGAGCATCGAGCCTGAGCTTAACACTGATCAGATTCTCGAACGATACGCAGCTGCATATAGAGCGTGGCGTGTGTCCATCCGTCCCTTGGACGAAGAGCGTGACCAAGACGATCAGGATAGACAGCCGTCAGCCGAGCCAACACTGAAGGCTGTCACTCCCGATGTACAAAATGCTGCGATGACAGGGATTCTGGATGGGTCGCTCGCTCCTACAGGCCGGAGGAGCCACGCGAGTCGATGGGCTACTGAGCTTGATCTGGAAGCTGTCATCAAAGAGTCTTTGAAGACTGCCGAAGAGGAAAAGTTAGGGAAGAAAGACAAAGAGCCACGCAAAGCCATGGCTGACCCGGAGAAGGAGGCCGATCTACCATTGGAACTTACCGAGGCAGAGGCTCAGCGCAGAAGATTCATCGACACTAACTTCCAACGCGAACCCGGTCAAGGGATTTTCGTGTTTCACTATGAGCCGCCAGAGGATGACTTCACCCCCGAGGAACACAGGGTCATGGTACATAACTACAAGGATCAATACGCAAAGAAGTGGGGTAAGCTGGCCGAAGTTCTTTACAAAGAAGTTGGAACCGAACGTACCTACAAGGATTGTATCAATCATTACTATGCTACCAAATGGGGCAGAGAATACAAGGGTAAACTCCGCAAAGCTCGGGCTCCCAGGAAGCGTGGTGGAGCCGTTGGTCGTGGTCGTGGAGCTATCGCCAACATGGACCGACCCGAAGGACCAGGAGAGGACGGTTTGCCCTTACCAGTCACTGAGACTGGGCGGCCTCGACGCCATGCGGCTCCCAAATTTGGCCCAACCGAAACTGAGTTCGACCCGATCACAGGAATGCCCATACCAGGCCGAGCACGCAGGCAAACTGACGCCGACGACACGCAAGAAAAGGCCATGCGGCGTGGAAAACCGGCGAAGGACAAGGTTGGCCGGAAGGCGAAGAATACGCCACTCGCGGCCGTTCCTATAGGCTCACCTGTCAAGGTCGATCGTAAAGACAAGAACATGGGAGTCAAGATGGAGGACGACCTTGGCAAGCGGCCCATGAATGATATGCCAATACCCATGCCACTTATCCCTATGGAGGATCAGATGATGCTGGCAGGAGATTTGCAGCAGCTTTCTGGCCTGCCTGGCAGTCTTATGGATCGACCGAAGACACAGGCTGGTGCCAGACCTGGCCCATCTAGCTACTGGTCCGTCTCCGAGTTACAAGACTTCGATAAGAATGTTGCACACTTTGGCACGGACTGGATTGCAATTGCAAACCATATGGGCACCAAGACGCACACTATGATCAAGAACCAGTATCTGCGTCTTGTCGAAAGTGGCAAACTAGACTTGGAGCAGACAGCAAAAGAGGCAGATGCTCGAAGGGAACGAGGTGATGATCTAGGTCCACCGCCAACACCGACTCCAGCACCCAAGAGACGATACGAGAGCACACAAGCGGGACCTATCCGCCCCATCGCACCTACGCCTGAACATGGGTCTCCGCCTCCGAACCCGCTTGTGCACCCAAAATTATCTCCTCCGCATTCAACTCCTTCTTCGAGATTCTCCACTATCGCCCAAGCACCTGTGCAGAGCAAGCCCATGGTGCCTCCGCCCGGATATTCTGCCCTACCAGAGACTAGCCTGGCGTCTGTACCCTCGATACCACCACAGCAGTCGCCGCCCGCTCCCCCTCAGCGTGCACCGCCGCAGCATCATCACCAACACTCCATGTCGCAGCATAAGTCGCAGCCGCAAGGGCCACGAGCTGGATACTTTTCCGAAGACCTACCTCCACGTTTCGAGTCCCGGCCACCTTCACAACCTGCCGGCAACCAACAGGCACACCGGCCATTGCAACAACATGCGCCTCCACAGCCTCGCGTTCAAGAGCAACACCACTCGCCTCTCTATCGTGGACTTCACTTTCAGGAGCGAGACGTTGCGGGTAGACCTGAAGTTCAGCAGGAGCAGGAGGCTCAGCGCCGGTTTCATGAACACACACGTCGCATCTCACAGGAGATGTCACAGCATAGACCTTTTGCTCCCGGTGGTGCACCGCCGATCATGCCGCCAGTACGTTCGAACTCTGGGCTGAGATCACCAGAACACCGTCCGTTGCCGTTCTCGCACTCTCGACACTCATCGCAAGCGCAATCGCTCAGCCAAACGGTGGCCGATGTGTATTCTCCGAGTCATAGTACTAGCCACAGTGCGCAACAGCTGCCGCCACGGTCGACCATTCTTACACCGCCTGTCAAAGAAGAACCTAGAAATCCTCCTCCAGTTAGCCTTCCCCCAGCTCAACCCCAAGCGATGCTTCACACTCAATTACAGCATCCTCAGCGCGGCCCACCACCTATGCAAAACACACCTCCACCTGCAGTAACAAAGCCGGCTGTCGAACCACGCAAGTCTAACTTGATGTCCTTACTGAATGACACCGATCCTGAGGAGCCCAGACGTAAGAAGCCAAGCGAACAAGGTCCGCCATCGCATACCTCTACACCTCTGCAATCAGCACCAATCGCGCCTCCTCCTCCCACGACGCAAAGCTACACGTCATCGTCAAGACGCCCGCTCTACGAAGATTCTATGGCTGCTCAATCTCCGTATACCCGTCCAGCATCGTATGCTCAGCAGTCTTCACTTGCAAACGCAACATCAAACAGGCCGATCGACCTGACTGAGGACAAGCCGTCAGTAAGTAGGCCAAGTCTGCGCGATACTTGGCAAGCCCAGCAGCCGTTCCACCGAGGGTTGTCTCAGACTCCACAGATCACGTCGCTTTCTTCAACACCGACCGGCCTGCCTCAGCCGCCCAATGTCAACGATAGAATGTTCAGCAATCACCGTTCTGTCTTCTCCCAGCATAACACTCCACGTCAAAACCCGACACCGCCACCTCTTGCCGGCTTCAACAACTCTCCAAATCCGCATTCGCGCACGTCGAGCGTGAGTGGGCCACCTGGGTCGTTGCCTCGACATGGTGTTCCGAGCACCACTGCAGCACAGCATGCGCAAGCACTGAGTGCATCATCACAGATCCTGCAGCCGAACCCATACGCCCAAGTTGATCCGCCGGGCAGTGGTGTCCCGCCACCTGGACCTATGGGGATGCGGCCCAGTCCGCACCTGTCGACAAGCCACATAGCACAGCAGCAGAGGGACTCATCCGGACGCAACGACCATTCGCAGGCCTCAAACGCAAACCTATCGTACTCGAACCCACAAACGCCCAACGAGCATCCAGCCCACCCTTTTCAAGGGTTGAGTAGACTGACGGAGCCTTACCGTCCTCGCGATCCTCGTGAGGCCCACGATTTTGATCCTCGTCACTCGGATCGCGACACCGGCCGTGAGTTGTCTCAAAGGGCCGATTATCTACGTGAACAGCTTTCCAACCCCGCGCTACGTGCGCCAGGTCCTCCAATGCATGAAGATCTGCGATACCAACCCCAAGATCGGGGATATCTCTCGCAACGCTCACAGACTCCGCTTTCTAGGCCGGAGCACGGCCAGCCTCCACCTTTGCAGCATCCTCCGCACTCGTCTCTCGGAGTAGCAAACCACTCTCTTTATGGTCAGCGCCCTCCCGAGGAACCACAACATCACTTCATGCGCAATCCTCGTGATCGCAGCATGACGGACCGTATCCGCGAGGAGCAAGCCCAAGCTCAAGCTCAACACCAGGCAGCGATGAATCGAGAAGAGCATATGCGAAGAGAAGCTGAACAAAACTCAAGAGAACGTGAGATGCGCGAACGAGATGCACGAGATGCGCACTACAGGGACAGCATCATGCGAGGAAGACAAGATATGAGGGGTCCACCGCCACCACAACCCAGTTCAGGGCCAGGATCAATCCACGACCCTCGGCCACCTACCGGACCTATGGACTGGACGAGCGGTGTAAGGCATCCGCAGGACCGTGGTCCATGGCAACGCTAGGGGGTCAGCTCGATTGACGTTTCGGATATTACATGCTCTACGCATATGATTTCTTTTGTGTCTCAGTAGATAGCTTCAGCGTTCCCGGCGTCATGTTTCTTGACGCCTTAGTTGTTCATGTTTAAGAGAAAGGACGACAGTCATGCCGCGCGGTAGTCTTGCCTTTGGCGTTGGGTGGTGCTTGTCCTGTCTGTTTAGTTTTTGGTATACCAGAGCGAGTGGTTTGGAAGAGCAGAAGAGATGGCTTTTGGACCTTTCTTGTAGAAACTTGTAGTGTATTATACGTAGCTGTCAAGCTAATTGCGAAATGTTCTGAATGAACTTGACTTTTTATTGCGTGCTGCTGCTGAAGTGAGATGTGCCGTGCTCAGGGCTGAGTAGGATGCTTTACACCAAAGCCGAGGTCAGGTCATGTGAACAGCAGTGGGATGATACGAGGCGTACACTCTTCTGGACACGTAGCTATGTTAGCCAATCGTGCATATTCCACAACGTGCACTGCAATCTGTAGCGCAGATGAGTAGACGTCTTTTTGATCGCCCTCCGTGGGAATACACCAATAGAGATGGAACGCTACTGTGCTGACGACATACGCCACTTCGCCCTTGGCCTATCTTCTCAATGTTGGTAAAAGTAGGCAACAAGCCAAGAATAGGCGAATCAGTGCACTGCAATTCCTAGCGCAGAAGAGAAGCTCTTGAGTCTCCACAATGACGAACATCTCGCACGATTAGTCGTTACTCACGCCTGCATCAGCCTCAACGCCGATAAGCCTCCGCAACGAAGCCATCCCACTCCCCCTTGAGATCATCCTCCAAACTTCCGCCAGAAACCCTCATACCCTCAAACTCCAACGACCCAACACCCGGCACCTCATACAAACAACCCTCCATCGACCCATCACCAGCGAACGTCATGTAACCCGTGCACTTGCGACCAAACGTCAGCTGTCCAGTCTCCAGATCGCGAAGACGCCAGCCAAGCGAACAGGGCTGGCCTAAACTATCAGAGTCGCCAGGGCCAGGGTTCATCTGGATAATTCCGTCCCAGGCGCCCCACCGGAATGTCGCCCACCAGATACCGCGGGAGGGGTCGCGGGCGAGTGTGAGGTCGAGGTTGTAGTCATTGAAGATGGAGCTGGCAGTTTCGCAGGAGATGGAGTAGGTGCCGCTGAGGAGGAGGGAGGGCGAGGGTCGGTAGTAGTCTGGGTAGGGATCGGACTTGATATAGGGTGATGGGTACATTCGGTCGGGGCTAGGCTGGTACTGCTCTTGCTTGATGCGAGACTGTGAGGGTGTCGACGGCGGCGCAGAGACGCGGCTCTCTTGCTTGATGTTGGGAACAGATCGCCTGGCGGTCGGTTCCTTCTTGACGAGTGTTTTCTTTGGCGCTGGCTCTTTCTTGACTCTCGCAACTTTTTGTGGTGTCGCTACCGGGCTAGAGACGATACTACCGGCGCGCTTGCGTTTGGCTGGCGCTGGCTTCCTTGGGATGTTGTTGCTCGCCTGCTGCGCGTCCATATACTGGCTAAGCGACGCTCCTCCTAAGGCCAAATTGACTACGAGATAGGATTAGCAGCGCCAAAAATCAGGGGTCTTTAAGCCTACCAGTGACGTTGACGCCGCCACTTACACCCTGAGAGCTTCCAAGACCTGACTCGCGAGCGACACTCGGTTTGGAAGCCTTCTTGCTCACTGCACCACCATTCTTCCTCAACTTCCGGTTCTCCGCCTCCCATTCAGCCTTCAGTTCGCTCTCGACCTTCAAAACCCACGCTGGTACCTCAAGTTTGAACTGGTTCATAGCATTCAGGAGTCGCACTTTCGCCGCATTCTTGTCCTTGGTCACCGGTAGTCCATAGTGAATGAGTTGGGCGGAGTAGAAATGCCACACCTGATCTTTTGCTGGTGTCGCGACTGCAGGCTTCCGACCCTTGCTGTAGAGATTAGGGGCTTCCGGGCGGAGGAGAGCCGCGAGTTCGGCCACGCTCGCGCGCCCGTGGTGGTTTCCGTTGCCAGGGTCTGCGTAGAGGACGGATGAGTAGAGGAAATCGCCACGGCGGGCTGGAGAGGCGAATGTCGCCATGAATCTTGAAGTGATGGGTATCGAGATGGGCTACAATGTGTCCAGCAGATAGTACGTGGAAGATATCCGCGAAGGAGTGTTGCAGAGTGGTAGAGCGAATTACGTGGGCCAACGGTAGGCTACCAACGAAGCTGGAGTCCGTGCATGGTCAGAGGAACATCTACGGTTCACTCTTCTACACCCAAAGTTTCCTCGGCGCTTTCAAATCCCGAGGACTGTATGTCTTCTTCTAGCTTCACCCTGATTTGTTCCTCAGCTTTCGCTTTTTCTCTCTTTTTCTTTGTTTCCGGACTTCCGTATTCTTTATCGAGATCGGATACGAGATTGAATATATTGCGCAGAAAGTTGGTGTAGAACTGGGTGTCAAAGGCTTGATGTCGTCGACACAGAATCTTCTCCCAATCGTTCTGGTGCTCGTGGAATGCGCAACTATCCTTTACATCGTCATACAAACGCTCACGTAGATGTGGATCTTTTGGTTGGGAGGCTATAATCCACATCACTTCGGCAAGCCAATCATGAGAGAAGCATTTTCTGATGTCTGCTGCAGTCGTGGTGTTCAACGGATAACCGACGAAGACGAAGGCCATCCACTTTAGCAAAAAGATTCGGAACGGCGAATTCGAGAGCAGAGATTTGTCCAAGGCGTCTCTGTCGATCTTCTGACACAGAATACCCGTGGGTCTTTCAAGGTCAACCATCAAGGTCATAATGTCCTGCCTCAACAGCGGCACGTCATAAACTTCTGCAAAAACATACAAGCGGAGGAATACGTCGCCGTAGAAAGCTGAAATAGCTGTTTCCTGGCGGTAATCTGTGATGCTATTAGCATGTAAAGGGCAGCAGCAAGTAGCGCAGTAATGTACTTCTCGGAACCAACCAGTCAGGGTTGCTGTTAGGCTTCCTATACCTCGCATTCTCCGTCTCCGTAGTGTCGATCGGGGTAGAGTTCTCATGCCGTGTGGCTTGCGCGTATAGCCAATCCTGGTACAGGCGGAATATGTCTGCCCTGGTATCAGGCAAACTTATTGACCACACCTCTGTTTCGAGGAGGGGACCCCCAAATGCTTTGCGAAAATACCCAGAGTAGAAACATGCGATATCTTTGTGAACTGTGACGACAATGTCATCAAGATCAAGGCGAACAGTGACGTGCGCTTGGCTTATTGTGCTATCGGTACGGATCAGTTTGATTGACCAATCAAGAGGTCGATAGTTGTAATTCGGGTTAGAGCTTGCTGGATATGATAAGACTCACGAGAATGTCGGACGTTTGGACTTATGGCTGGTCAGTTGGGCTTCGGCTGGTCTCTTAGCAGCATTTTCCATGGTTATTATGGTGACTTTGAAAAGGGCCTGCAAATTGATCCAGTCTCGCTCGCAAGTTTTGGGGAGAGATATGGGAATTGAGCTGTGACTGAAGGGATAGTTTGGGTACAGGTGCTGATAGTACGAGCTGAACAGAGATTTCGGGGCACCTCGGGAAGTGTTGAAGCTTGACGCGTGCGACTATTTGAGACTAGCGCGACCTCGACGCGTCTTCGGTCCTATTGCCATCTTCGCATGCAACATCTGTTCTAGTATTGATCATGAACAGAAAATCAACGCATTGCAGCTCGGTAGTCGTTCAGACTGGTGTCAACACTCTCACATGGACTTGTTAAGGTCTCGACTCATAGACCCAGGTAAGAGCAGGCCTATGGAGACGGGTCGACGCGTGAGATGACGACAGTCTCAGCTCAGCCACCGTGGAGCAAGATCTCATAATCATCGTACGCTTCCAAATCTTCCCAAATGCTTACGGGTGGTTCCATTTGTGACCTACCATCCATTCCTCGGGGAATTGTGAATGAAAAGGTCGAATCTGATGGCAGTCCAACACCGGCCGAGAAGGGTATCGCCTTATCTTCTTTCTTTTCCAACATGTCAGGCTCATACTTTGGGTTTTCCTCCGTCTGCGCGTGTGACTTTGACTCCAGCATGGCATCCTCCATATCGTAAACCTCGCTCATGCATGCTCGCAGAAAGCTAGAGAACCAAAGTCCTTCTTTCTGCTGTCTCATCTTGCAGATCGCAATCGCTTCTTTATGACCCTTATGCTCGTGGAAGTTGCAAGGGTCAGAGAGTTCTTCCTTAATATTTCGTAGGGTTGAGAGGCCTTTCATCGGGACAGCTATCATCAAAAGATCGATCAAGAACGATTGTGGGTATCTTTCGTATCTTTCCTTGGTCATTTTCTCATAATGATATACCGCTCGTGTTTTGACAGCGTACTGACAAAGCGGAGAAGTAGAGGGCAGAGCATCGTAGAGTGTCCTGACCAAGGACGATGACCACTGATCTCTGACACCGTTGTTTTGCCGACTGTAAGTCGTGAGTTCCACCAGAAGTGTCATAACATCCTGTCGTAGCAGTAGCGTATCATATTTGTCGGCGAAAGCGTATAGACCGAGCAGTGTTTTCAGATATGGGTGTTTCATTTGGAACAGAAAATCTTCTTGGATTAGCTTCTATGACACTGGCCAAGAGATGATCTCACCTTCTCTTATTACCCATTCCGCAGGTTTCGACGGACTTGGACGCGGCTCTGATATGGGCGCGGAAGGCGCAGGTTTAGCGTCGGCTATACATTCGTCAGTCACTTGGTCAGATCGAAACCCTACAAGATGCCGAGCGATCTACCTTGTTGGTCTTTCGACACTTTGTTTGAGCCGTCTTCGTCAACGATGTAATCCGTCGACCAGTTGATGGGCTGTTTTAACAGCCAAAATTGAAATAGCCTCATCGTCGAGGCCGATACATCCTGAAGATGGATCGATTTGTCTTCAGATTCACGAAACCCCCCTTTAAATGCACCAGCAAAATAAGCCGAACAAGAGCATAGCAGTTCTCTGTGCAGCAGGTATATCTGCTTC